GCTTGTTCGCATATATATGTGGATCCAAATATTGAAAACATTTTTGCAGCAAATCTTTTAAAATTTGGAAATGCTACATCAGACAGAGAGCCATAAAATTCTAACAAAAGACCTGATTTAAACTTTTCTTTCAGTTCACAATTTGCTTGCATGTCCAGCAGTTCCAACTGCAAGTCTTGAGGTATTTCATCAGCTTTTATACAAAATGGTATTGTGAGAATTGTAAACAAAGGCTCCAGGTTTTTAAAATCTTCAAATCTTCTTTCAAATTCCCTAGCTAAATCATGTATTTGTTCTTTGTATTTCTGTGCTACTTCAGCAGAAATTAGTTCCTGTTATAGCAATGGAAAATGACAGAACTTGTTTTCATCTGCTTGTCTAGAAAACAGGGCAAGTTTTGATTGAAATAATTTAACATGGTAATAAATGTCATGTGCAAACAAACCATTGCCTTGAAGTTTATTGTTCAATTCATTTAACTTTTCAATAATGTCAATGGCAAACATAAAATCTAATTTCCATTGTTCATTTTTAATATTTGTAGTAAAATCAGAATTGATACTTTTCATTTCTAAAAAAAAGAACTATTTCTTCTTTGAGAGCCCAGACTCGACTCAGTGCCCTGCCAAGACTTAGCCAACGAACACTGCAGTAGTAGAGTATGTCTGAATGTTCACTTTCCATATCTTCGAGCAATGTTTTGAACTGTCTGTGGTTAAGACCTCTGGCTCTGATGATGTTTATTACCCCAACAACTGAGTCAATAACATGCTTAATTTTCAATCCAACTTTACACAAATTTTCTTGATGAATGACACAATGAATAGATATAAGTGCATGATCTGGATGTTCTTTTATTTTTCTGTTTATCAGTGTCAACAAACCTTTGTTTTTTCCAGTCAAAGCTCGAGCACCATCAGTTGTTACACTTGCTAATTTGTTCCAGGCTAATCCATTTTTTTCAATACAATTTTCCACAGAATCGAATAAATCTTGGCTAGTAGTTGTGTCCTTTAGTGATTCAACACTGAGCAACTCTTCAGTAATTTGAAAGCAATTATTGATTCCTCTTATAAATACTAAGAGTTGTGATGTGTCTTGCATATCTGTGCTTTCATCCAAAGCAAGAGAGTACCACAAAAATTTTTTACTAGCAATTTGAAGCTGTTGCAACAAGTTTTCACTTATCAAGATAATTCGTCTGACTACAGTTCTTCTTGATAAAGAAATACTATCAAATTTTTTTCTCTGCTCTGGACACATGATGTTTGCTGCATCCAGCAAGCATTCTTTGACGAACTCGCCATCAGAAAATGATTTACTATTTTTAACTATTTTGTGAGATAATACCAAACTAGCTTCTGTTGTAGCCACTTGGATTGAAGATTGTTTGGTAAAAACGTTTTGCTGTGTTTTTAAATTTTTAAGCAATTCTTGGCATTTCCTTTTTCGATCTTCATCTGAGAATTTGCTTCCAAAATCTAAATGTTTCGATTGCTGATGCCTTTTCAAATTATACTCTTTGAAAACATTTATGGACTCGCGACAAATTAAGCAGACTGCTTTTCCACCGACGTTAGTGAAATAATATTTAGTTGTCCATTCCTCATTAAATACTCGACATTCGTCATCTATTTTTCTTTTCTTGATAGCAGACATGACTTTTAAATACGAAACAAAAAAATTAAAAAAGAATACAAAGATGGCTTCCTCCTGCACAAAATTCAATTTTAAACAGTGTTGCCATTGAATTTAAAATAAAAGACTGAAAGGTTCAAGTTAGAATGGACCATATAGCTAGAATAAATATAGTGATAATGCGGCCCAGATAGGAGAGATTTTGTTGGAAGAAAATTTAAATCAGACAACTTCGGTCAAGCGCCGATGTCAGCCCGACTGGAGAAGAGCAAATTTTGTCTTAATAAGCTCGATTCAACATTTTTTAAATATCAGGAATGACAATTTTGTGATAATAATGACATTATTGTGACAAAATGTTTATTGCGATTAGAAATTTGTGCGTAAAAATTAAAAACTCAGAGGACTTCGCAAGCTTTTCAAAGCGGACTGAGATAATAAATACATAGAAAACTTTATATTTTTTTTTGTAATTTTTAAATATTTTTTTAACATTTTAATTAAAAACTGGTATTTAAATTAAAGATTAACAAGAAGATCAACTATATAAAAATGAATAAAAAACCAAGGAATCGCTAATAGTCTATGTCTTGCTAGGCGGCCCGCTTGAATACATTGATTAGATGTAGCGTTAGCACCCATTAGAATGAACAATATTAAGCAAATTTTTAACAATTTAATTCTAGAATACAATGGCTTCAAATTAAATGTTTAAAATTCAATTCTAAAACATAAAAATTCATTTTTTATATGTAAATCTGAAGTGCGTACAAGGACTCGCGGGCCGCATAAAATGGGTCGGCGGGCCGCATGCGGCCCGCGGGCCGTAGTTTGCCCACCCCTGGCTTAATAGCTAAATCCTAAAATTGACAATTTTTATTACCAATTTTTATTACCAATTTTTATTACCTTTTTTCATTTCGTTTTTAATCTTTCTTTACACGCTTATTTTATTCTCTCTCTCTCTCTCTCTCTCACTCTATCTCTCTCTCTCTCTTTCTCTCTCTTTCTCTCTCTCTATCTCTCACTCTATCTCTCTCTTTCTCTCTCTCTCTTTCTCTCTCTCTATCTCTCACCCGCACACACTGCTAAGAGTGAAGTTTTCATAAAGCCTAGTACACACTAGTGAACATGCTGCACAATTTTAGTTTTCGCGACGAGCTAGGTATGTCTATAGATCAGTTCTAGTCTACGGGCATATTTTATTTAATATATTTAATAATATATTTAATATTTTCAATTGAAATATTAGTTTTTTTCATAAAACTGTATATTTTTTTAACTTAAAATATGAAAATTTTGTTTGTTTAGAACTAGTTTTTTTAGAATTTCACTTTATTCCGTTATTTTCACGTTTGTTGTCAATGTTAATAAATTTTTAATTTTTTCAAAATTAAATTTATTTAAAAAAGAGTAATGTAAATTTTTAAATCTATTTATATTTTTAAACGAAGATGTATAATTTTTGTAAATAGTGTTCTGAAATTTTATTATTTATTTTTTATTAATCCTTTTTACGTCGGAGTACCAAAACAACAATAAGAGGTTTATATTGTAGTGCGGACTCTAAACGGGACAAAGAAAAACGTGTCATGACAGTCTAAGTCGTTAGACGGTTCATGAACAAATTGCGCAAAATGTCTAGTATGTTGTAGGCTTTTGACAAACGTTATTGAACAATTATACCCAAGTAAAAATATTTAAAAATATGAAATTGAGAAAATTCTTATTCAAAACTTTTAGCATAATTGGGCTAACAGTCGTTTTGAAAATTTATCATCATCAAAGCCCTATGCCAATTAACAATGCATGTTATGGAATTAGTAAAGATTTGTGTTTAGAATTAGTTAATTAGTATAAAATGAAAATTAATTTAGACAAAAAATATGTTTATACTGTATATGTAAGTAAATATATATTTTCTTATATATAGAGGAATTTGTAAAATGAATGTTTATAACGAGAAAAAAGCTGGTTGTCAACCGTTTTCTTGTTAATTTTGTGAATGGTGTCTTGAGGTTGTTTTGTTGTAGGTTGAATGATTGAGACGGTAGCAGATTTATTTATTTATTGTTCATGGTTGGTTTTCTTGTATGTTTAGAGCTTCTAGGATTTGTAAGGTTCAAGACTGTGCTGCTGGGTCTAAATTTGTGTTCCAGAGATGAGGTCTTCACGTGTAATTTTCTCGTTATGTGTTGATTCAGAGTGTAGTGATGGTCTTCTGGATAACACAGTAGTCACACCAACATAGGTTTGATGTTCACAGCCATTAATTTTACATTGATTTTGGTAGACTACTTTTGCTTTTTAAAGAGGTTTATTGTTGTTTGCTGTGTAATTTTTAATGACAAGATTTGTTGTTTTGGGGTTTTTGTAATATTAGTTATGTCGTTTGATTTGTTGGTTGGTTGGCTGGTTGGTTAGTTGGTTTGTGGAGAATTTTACATTTTTTATTATATTGTTCATTATGATTTTATTAGTTTTATATTTGTTTTTCATAATATTTTTGTGACACAGTACAGTTGGTTTTAGTAGTGTTGCGGTAGTCATAATAATCGTGCATAATTTTCCAAACTATGATAATAAAATTTATTTTTATCGTTTTGCGCTAAAAAAAATTTCCGCTCAGTAAAGGGCCGAAGATAGTTCGTCGATTCGGTTCGTACTCAACAATTTCAGAGTTCGGTTCGGTTGTTAGTTACGTTCGGTCCGGTTTGGTCGTTGGTAGAGTTCGAGTTTGGTTCGGGTTCAGTTTGCTTCCCTTCTCTAAATTGAATGTTTGATTCGAATTCACACAACTCTAACCTTACTTCAATGTTTTTTCCGCGATTCCGTTTCTTTTGTCCCTCTAACTAACGTATTACCATGTTCGTTATATAAACAACCTTGACCCATCATACTCACGATTTTGTATATCTAATAATTATTATCCGTGTCCTTCAATTTGTGGCACAGTTATTTATTTAGTGCTACACTAAACCTACAGTACCTAAGATAAAAAAAATTAAATTTCTAAATTTTTTGTTATTTTACTTGAAATAGTTTTTGTCAACTGAAGTTATGTTGTGACATAATAAAATCGTTTTAATAATTTTATATATCGATAAATTAAATATTTTAAAAAATATTTTAGCGCCCTCCAACATTCCTCTTCCCAGTGATATACCATTGCCATCTCTGTATTCTGTTAGATCTAAGCATGGTATATTGAAGAAAATATCAAATTACGATAGGCAAGTTTTTTTTGATGTAATAGTGTTCAAAATTTATCAGGATATTATTAATATATTAAATTATTTTTTTTTGTAGTTTTAAGATTATAGTGATTTCTATTTTATTAACGTATTACATAAATTTTAAGGTTTATTTCTCATGATTTATTGTGGACTGAAAATTTACAAATAAATATAATTGATTGATTATTTAAATTGAAAAAAATGAATTCAATCGCTCATTACGAGACTCAGTTTCAAAACATATAAATAAATACACTATTTAGACATATAGGGCCATCTACATATAATAACAAAACGAAAAACCCACCTGGACCTCCACCCGGCTCACCTCCTCATCTAGATGAGTATGATGACAACCCCATTCATAACGATCGCATTTCTCTCGATGACGATACAGATCACTCAATCAGTTAGTACTATTATATGTCAGAAAGAATTTTGATGTAGCACATTGTAAGCAAATTCTAGTTTTTCATTAAATTTGACGAATTTATATTTGTAATCGCGTTTACAATTTACAATGTATGAATCAACCTGTAAAATATCGACGACTTTATGTTTCCGAAATCAAATAGACCAAATTAAAGATGTAAAAGAAGATGTTAATGAATACTGATCTGTAGAAACTGGGGTGTTTAAATTATACTGTAGTGTAAAATGAAGAATTACTGCACCGATGAGCAACAAGAAAAGAAAAAGAAAGTTTTTTTATGGCATGCATGGGTTCAGCTGTTTAAGCAGAAAGTTTAAATATGTTGGAGAGAGCCAATTGACGTTCGCAGAACTGCTTACCTATGATTCTGAGTTTTGACTTTCGGGACACAGAAACTGGGCCATCCACACCTCAGGGCGTGCATATTTTGTATGTATGCGCAAGCGTAGGACAGTCTTTGAATTTCGAAAAGACAACATTGGAATCAGGCCAATGACAATGCTAAATAGCGATTCTACCGTTTGAGCCAAATCGCCGAATTTGTAGTGTTGCTTGAATTGAAAATGCTTTGAAAAAATCTGTATTTTACGTTTCAAGTATTTCAAGTCGGAAGTACATTAACAATGTTTGGCATTGTTACCGAAAAAGTAGATAATTAGGTCGGGAAATGGGAAACTTGAAGAGAAGATGTAGACTGACTCTGACTTGAATGAAATCGTGAAAAAGAGCATACTGATCCAGGTTTGGCTGCGCATAGAATTTTTTGGAAACTACTGGCAAATAAGTCTGTTGACAAACTAGTTTGGTTGTGCGTGGAATTTAATGATTTTCTTTCAATAATTAATAAATTAGAAATAATACAAGCGTAAAATAGTCAATATTATTTTCTTTTATACTTTTTTCAATAGTAAAGAAAAAGAAAATTCGATTTCATGATGATGATACTAGAGACCCAGATGAGGAAGAGAAAGATACAAGGATTAAATTCAAAACGCTATCACCTTCAAATCAGGGGTACAGTGTTAATATTTTCATTTAAATTTTTTTTAATCTTCAAAAAGCCAGCGTATAATTATTTAATCTGATTTTACTAAAAATTATAACTTTTAACAAGATATCCATATTACATTTTGTGATAAATTAGTGTTCCTGATGCATGTTTAAACTTTTAAGCCTTATTTTATAATATTTCTACTCAGTTGCACGTAGGTTTTTGACTAGACTTGAGATTCTAATAAAAAGCCCTACACAAATATTCATATAATAAGATGAAGAAGAAGGAAGAGAAAAACCATTATTTTCATTAAGATTCGATTTTTCAATGAGGGGGCTACAATGAAAAACAGAACATTACAAGATTTTAAAGTGTACAAATTATGTAAGAAATGATAAAAAGAAACTAAATTTTTTAGGACACTAGTGTTTGAGTAACCAAGATACATTTTTTAGAACGATCAAGAATAATCAATCGTTTCCAAATCGCCAACTGAATATTTAAAATCAGACTTTTATGTTTGAAAACGCAAATAGTTTTGAACTGTATATTATACATTAAATATAACGGTTCTATATGTTATACATTTAATATAAGAGTTAAACCAGATTGTTGTAATACAAAAATTCCAAACAATGGTCTGAAAATTTGAACATATTTTTGAGTGTAAATAAATAGCAAAACCAACGTATTTTAATTCGACCTTTAAATAATTATTCTGTAACAAATAACCAATGACCAAATTAATAAATGTGTTTTTCAAGTTGTGCGACATCTAATATCTTAAGGTGTTTTCAAAAAAATGATTAATAACTAGCAACTGTGAACAAATAAGTGTTGTTATTGAGTGTGGTTTTTAATGATTTTTTCCTTCTTTAACTTGTTGAAATTTAATATGGTTGCATAGTGCGTTTGGTAACAAAAACTATTAATATTAAAAATGATTGCTTATTGCTGCTTACGTATAATTTTTATAAACACGAGCTCGAAAAATTATTTTTTAAATATGAATAAAATTTGTTTTCGAATTCTGAATGCTTATTTATGATTTCGTGCATGTATGAGTGGTTTGACATTGTTCTAGTTACAATCACACTTACGATTCAATAGTTAGATTACGAAGAAATAACAGGGCGTAGGATGGTGGTTGACCAATTTTCTTACCTTGTATATTTATTTTTACGAAATCTTATGAAATTTTGTCACCTAATGACTCAAAAGAGGATAGCACAGATTTTATTATGGGAAGAACTATCACACTTATTAAATTAAAAAGAACAATATTAGTTCCACGCACCTTATTAGTTCAAAACTGTCTTCACCTCATAACTTATCATTATTTTAACGTCCGTGCTTGCACGGGTTGGACAGTTTCCATGGATGCCACTCCTCCATACATCGCGGTTTTGTGCATCTTCCCTTCTCAACTTCATTTTTCTAATGTCATCTGCCACACACTCCTTCCAAATTTCACACACTCTTTCATAACTTACACCATCATAATTTTTTTCACGATATCAGCACAATTGTAAATAATTTTTGACTTTTGACTTAAAAATATAAGTAGTCATGTTTTAAATTTCATTATAATTTTTCAATTTTAAATTGCATTTTTACTTCAGCATTATTATTGTTCACGTATTTTTTAAATGTACAATCGATAGCATTGCCTATTTAAATTTAATTGTGTGGTGAAATAATTGGATAACATAAATGGTGCTAAAACACTTTGAATTCTCGTTACATATGTTTCTACTAAGATCCTTATATAAAGTTAATTTTTTGACAGACTTCAAAATGAACCAAATGATAAGCAAAAATCGGAAGTTCCAATTACAGATATCAACAGTCAAGGGCTCAAAGTGATTCCTCCTGGTCCTCCTCCGATTATCTATAGGTATACCTTTAAAATGATAAATAATTTTGAATATATTTACCATTTAAAATTGTTTTCGATTGCAATCCTTTTTCTAGTCACTGACAATTTATTATCTATTGATCTTCACGAATTGAATAATATATCCAAATATTTAACTCATTTTTTTCATGTTAACTGATTTTAATTTAAAATTTCTATGATGTTTATCTGATTTTTTTCAATTCATGATTTATTGATTTAAATTTTTTTAATAAATGTTTTTATTATCACTTTTTTGAAAATTTCTGTTTTTACTTTATTCTTGCAAAACAAATTTTTGTTTCAGCTGCATTTCTTTCTTGTTTTTTACATATTGGTTTTGAGCAAATTTTTCATAATAAAAAAATTTAACGTAATGTTCCTATGAGATTATTCCAGGAAAATTATCCTTGTGATAGATGTTATAAATTGGAACGTAAAAAGCAGGAATTAATATATGCGGATTAATTATTTTAATGACAGAAACCAAAAGTCCTAAAACGAAATGGAAAACTTGACAAGCGGCTCCAGATTTTATATGAAAAAGTTGATAGTAAGGTTTATCGGTAGTAGAAAATGTTAAGTACGTCGTCTTTTTGTACCGGAATGATATGTGAAATGTCTGAGAAAAATAGAGACGACCAAATTGTTATTGTTCTGGGAAAATTGCACTGGGATTTTTGTAAAATAAGCGTTGCTACAAAAGAGGGGAAAAAGTAAAGTTTAGTGTCATCATCATAGTCTTCTCCGTGTTTGGACTGAGTTACCATTTTTGTACACATATTGTTTGTATGGATATGGTCCATCAGATCAACATGCATCCATCGAATCGTTTTCATATCCGTTCGGTGAAGTTGCTGCTCGAGTATTTTTGTCATTGGCCACGTCTCTGCACCATAAATCAGTACGGAGCGTGTCACTGAATTGTACAACTTTGAGCGGATTGACAGTGGAATGCCGCGTCGCGTCAGCACCGAAATATGTTAGGCGTTAATTTATTTGAATCAGTAATCTCTTCTTAAGTAATTTAATTTATTGAGAAGCGTCGTACATACTTCAGCATTGGCAATACAATACCAACAAAATCTTTTTGTTACATTCCTTTTTAGCATAATTGAGCATCTCAAAATTTAATAATCTTCTGAAGAGTTTCAATTAAATTTGCCGAGATGAATTCAAGAAATGTTTAAATTATTTATATATATATACCTCTCAATTACCTAAGCCGTGTCATTACTTTTGATCACCACTCACAATAATATTTTTATATCGATTTCAATAACTCAGAATAATAATGCCGCTTAAATAGACCAATATTATAACTGTATAACTAATCGCGACAAATTAAAATTGATGTAAAAGTGCGTGTTTAAAATTATAAATTATTCAACCGTAAATTAATTTTATGACTATCAAGGTTGCCGCCTCCTATGTTGCCTCCTCATGTCATGTCCCCTGGACAATCTCGTCTGAGGCCACCTCCACTTGGTCTCGCTATTAGGACGCCTGTTCCTCCTCCTGGTTTGCCGCAAGGTTCTTTGGATTTTTATTTATGAAATAAAGTTTGATCATTAAAGTTTACATATTGTAGTTTAATTATTTTTTAAAACTCAATAAAACCATTCATACTGATTTTTTTCACAGGTATTCAGGGTCCCAACTTGCCTTCATCCCTAAAATCACTGACGCAGAATAATATTTTAAGCGCTCCACCATCTTACGCCAAAACTTCTTCAATAGCTGAAAAAAGCCATCCGTCATCTGGTTCAAAGTCTGAAATATCTGTAACCATATCTGCTAAACCTAAGATAAGAAATTTAATAGGCGATGTAACGAGATTTACTCCTATTGCTGTTAAAATCAAGAGAGAGGTGAAAGATATTAAAGGTCAGGCTGTAAAATCTGGTTAGACTTTTGTGTGTCTTATAATTTCATACTATGTTTTGCACGTTGAAATTTAACTAAAATAAGTTTTGAGCCAAATTTTTGTTGCATCAGCTACAATTTTTGATTGATGATAGATTTTAGATTTATCATCAAGGCATCTGGTGGGGCAGGCTTCCGAGCCCTCTTACACATCTGTCGGGAGATGTGGAGTAAATCGATACTACCAGTGGAATGGAACAGTATCACAACTGTGCCGATATATAAATTTTAGATTTTAATTTTTAGATGATTCAATATGAATATTAAACTGGTTTGTATTATAAAATATACTATTCGTTGTTAGCTTCACTCTCTGCGTGTGTTTAGCAAAAACTAAATGCGGTTTCTGCTAATTTTGTCGGTTTTTGTAACTATTTTTGAAATAGTTCGTTAAAGTTATCTGTAATTAGTTTGAAATTGCTCACTTAAATTACACTTGAGTTGCGTTACGGTTTTCGGTAAAGTTACAGTTACGCAGTTGACGTTGAGCGATAACTTTATTCATTTTCTGAACGTTTTAAAGATTGTAGTGATAAATTATGGTTGGTTTTAATTTTGATATTGGTAAAGTAATAAGAGAAGTATGGAGTAAACTGTTCAAGTACCAACTGTGGAGACCAAAGTATGCTCGATTGGTTGATGATGTGAAATTCAGAAATTTTGTCGATAATCTCAAGATGGGTTTTTTGAATTGTAGTTCTATGTTTGGCATCTGTTGATTTTCACCGAAACAGGGCAGCTTTAAAGATGTGCGTCCCTGTACTGTTTGCTCACTTAGATGCACCACGAACAAGTCAGATTAGCTGGTGGTCAGGCCATAATATAAAACGAAAAAAAATTGTAATGAAACACTATAACCTTGGCCGTTGTTTTGAAACGTTCAAGGCAATAACCTGTTTGTTACTATTCAGATCAAAGGCCTAGTTTACAGGCGTGGTTCTACTGATCCATGAAAAAGATTCATTGATAAGTTCTCCCAATTGCTGTTAGCGTTTGGTCTCCAAGGGCCGAGCTTACTGATTATGGGTGATTTCAACATTCACATCAACGATCGTGAGAATCATATATCATCCGGTTTCATAGAATTGATACCAATATGTGGTTTGGTTCAGCTTGTCAATCCCCCAATTCATGGTTCAGGAAATATTCTAGATCTGGTGATAGTGAGTGATTTGCTGGTGGTTCGTTAGGTGTTGATTCACCCACTGGTAGTGTCTGATAAAGAATTATGCTCGAAAAATCAGTTGTTAAAGCTGCATGCCCTGTATAACTGTAAGATGAGGTTGTTTTGGCACACAAATATAACAAAGAGCAGATCAAACTCAAAATGACTTTTGTATTCAATCAATGTGTATGAAGTCATAGCGGTGTTTTTGAAATGAACGCCAACAACATGTGGTTTAGACCCACTTCCATCAAAGCTGTTGTTGAGGTTTTTAGATCATTTACTGCCGTTTTTGTCTCTTAATAAATCGAACGCAAAAAGTTCTCTTTGATGGATCGATGTCGTTTCGCATGGTTCTGTGTTGGGACCGATTCTATTTTTGAAGTATGTTTTAGATCTGCCGCCGTTTGGTAAATGAACATGGTTTTAGGGTTCATCATATGTTGGTGATCTTCAGGTTTATTCTGCTGAACCGTTTGAAGTTAAATCCTTATTAAACAGAGTTAATTTGGTTTGGATCCAAAAAGGTTATGGCCGAAATCGGTACTACGTCTTTTGATGTTCTTTGTAACCGGTTACACGCAGTTAAGACGGTTAAAAACATGGAAATGTTTTTGATAACTTATAATTATTTTGTTTAACATTCACAATAGTGTCAAACCGTTAATTTTCAATCTAAGGATAGGTAAACAATTAAAATATGCTAATGCTAATGTTAGCATTGTTAATTAAAGAAATATCCAAACGAAATATCGAATTCCAACGCTCGCCTAATCCCGACCCTTTCATCTCTTCTCAACACATGTCCATACCACCGCAATATCGATCTCCTTATCAATGTCACAATGTCCTCATTCAGTCCCATCATCGACATCAGCTTTGTACTACTCCTATCCTTCACTTTAACCCCACACATCACTTTCCTCTTCTCTCCTCAACACCCAAGTTTCACCAACATATACCATCGCTGCTCTCACACATGCTTTATATACCCTTCCTTTCATCTTCACTGACCATTTCTTTCCACAAAATACCCCACCCTGTTCTCTAAATTTCATCTATCCCACACGAACTCTAGCCGTAACAGCGCTCAAACTTTCTCCATCCGCGTTCAGCTTAACCCCTAAATAAACAAAGCTTTCCACTCTTTCAATACCACTACTCAACCCCGTCCTTGCGTCCGTCCTAATAATCACACCATGAACACATTTCTTACATTTGAACATGCCTTCCACCTTTTTCAGTGCCCCCCTCACACCACTACATCTCTTATGCACCCACTTCTGATATCCTATACACAATACCGAGTTAGCCTTCACTCTCCTATCACATACCCCACAGGGGTCTATTTTACTTATCACTCGCTCCCCACCTTCCCCACTCACCATTACCTTCGTGTTACCAATATAAACTTTTAACCCTTTCTTTTCGATAACACTTTTCCATCTGTCAAATTTTAACTACAATTCTTCCATGCTATCAGCCATCAAGATTAAATCATCTGCCTACAAAATCTCAAATAACAACCTCTCCGTTATGTTTCCACAAAACAACTTCCATCACAATAGCAAACAAAAACGGTGATAACACTGATCCTCGATGCACTTCTACCGTCCGACATCCCCTTTCCGACCCTCACCTTTGTCTTCGCCCTTTCATACAGCTGCATCACAGCTTTAACAAGTCTCTCATTCACTCCTTTCTTCCTCAACGCCCATTTAATGACCTTTCTCAGTACTCGATCAAAAGCCTTTTCTAGATCCACAAAACACATGTTTCTTCTTTCTTTAATTCTCCTGCAACATTCTCACTGAACAACGCATCCACCGTTCTCCTACCAGGCATAAACCCACACTGCATTTCATTAACTGTCACCATATTTCTCAACCTCCTCTCAAGCACCCTCTTCACTACCTTCATTCCATGCTCTATCAATTTCACACCCCTATATGACACACAATCTCTCACATCTCTTTTGCCCTTATACAACGGCATCAACACACTGTGTCGCCAATCCTCAGGTATACCTTCAACATCAAACATACTGTTAGCAATTCTCATCATAACTTCAATTCCTATCACTCCACTCGTCTTTATATGTTCCGCCGCCACTTCCCAAACCCATATCGCCTTACCTAGTTTTATTTCTCTAACTGCTTTCTCTACTTCCTCCATCGTCATCTTCTCTATGGGTCCGTGTGTGA